TAATGATAAATTAAATTAAAAGATAAATTCTAAAATTAAGAATAAAAATATTTAAATAAAAAATGATAATTATAAAAGATTGAAGACAATATTATAATAAACAAGGCTTCATGATTCACTTAATTGATTTATTTAACTGTTATAAATTTTGATTCCTATTTATTATTCAATTGCATGTTTCATGTCCTAAACAAACAATTGGAAGATTTAACTTTGAAGACCAATAATAATAACTAATATATTTATTTTGAAAAAAATTAATTTCAAAAAAGAACAAATTAATCTATCATTACGAGCTATACAAGAGCGACAATATATCTAATCGACAATAATATAGTAAATGATCAATCCGCAAAACAAATCTACCAATCAATTATATTCTAACAAATCACACATAAAAGAGCATGACTAATCTTATATGAAATTTGATAAATATAATTTTTAGGGTTTTCAAATCTAAAAATAATTAATAATCTCTCAAAAATAAAATTAAACAATAAAATCAATGAAGAATTCAAAAATAATAATAATAATAACAAGTCAAATTCCTCAATTAAAATCCTCCCTAGTCTTGTTGAAAGTTTAGTTACTCTTTGACAAAATTCTTTATCCTTGAAAAGGAAGAAAATAGAAGCCTAAGAACTATTTTTCTAGATGCTAAACCTAGTTTTCAAGACTCCTATTTATATTAAGAATAAAATAGGAGTGTTTGGTAACTAAGATAGCCGCCCTTGTGTAATTGCACCAAACCAGAAATCCTTCTTTAGTCTGCGTCCGCATTCCGGATTGACTTGCAAAGCCCCGAGGTTAAACTCGGGGTAGACACTCCGATGCTTAAGTAAGCAATAATTGGGGCTACCTCTAGAGCGGAGATAAAAGGAGCTTAGGGTTGGTTTCAATTACCTTTTTGACATGGCCCATGGGGGGTATTTATAGGCTCCAGTGAGGAACCCTCGTGACATGCCAAGCAAGATAATCGAAGTTTGATTGTGTCTATCCAAACGGATAAGCTCCAGTGAGGAACCCTCGTGACATGCGAAGCAAGATAATCGAAGTCTGATTGTATCTATCCAGACGGTTATTTCGAGACCGGGAACTTGAGAGATATTTACATATGAGAACATCCATCGTAACTGATGTGCAGCTTTATCATAAGGAATCAGGTGCGAGCATGCTTATTGTCGCTGTCATGTAGTTGTTTGAGCGGGAAGTGTTGGATTTATCATTCACTTCGGTTATAAAGGAATTACTGTCGTACGTCCGAGGTTAGGCACCTCGGACCTATCCTTACACCTAGGGAATTAATTTAATTTAATTTTTTCTTCTCGCACAATTGGTCGGACAAGGGTTGGAACCTCAATCAGGGTGCGAAACCCTGCATAATTTTGTTTTTGTGCCACATTGACTAGGGGTTGGAACCTGCTTCAAGCTGTGGAACCCCTGATGTTTATGTTTTTCCGTTTGTGCTGTTCAAAGCATACTTCACGAAGTTTGCTCTTAATAAAAAATGGGGAAATCCAACTTGGGCCTTCAAACTTTCAAATTTACTCCTTGGCTCCTCATCTTTTCAACTCTTTGCATTCAAGTCCTTTTCTTCTAATTCTCTCCATTTAATCATCAAACCTTCAATCACCACAAGATTTGCACAACATGAATATAATGAACACTTATGAAATTACTTGTGAAAAAGAAAACTCTTAAACCCATAATTTCACAAATGTTAATGATTAAGCACACTTTAAATATACATGTTCTTTCTTTCATCACAACCCCCAACCAGCTTATTGCTGGTCTCTAGCAATTCAAGCGTGAATTAAGAAAGAAAGCATGCTGATTAGCTCAAATGGATATATAGCAAGACTACCTAGGTATTTAGAAAAAGATCACAATTGCTATCAAGATTACTTCAATTGTAACTTCCAAAAAGTGTATCTGTGTGAACTAAGCATAACCTTCGTACCACAAACCACAACATATATAGCCTTGAGAATTAATAAAAGTAAAAGCCTCAACTCCATATCCTCACAGGTTAATAACTGTTTAAGGCAAAGGATTTCTCTCATGGAGTTGGAAAGCAGCAAATCACTCAAAGGAAAAGGTAAAATTTAATAGACAATCAAACAAACAAATATTGATTAGAAGATAAGCTAGTTAGCTATTCAAAATTCCACTACTCTTACTCCAAACTAATTTCAGGATTT